ATTCCTATATATCAGTGATGAATCTACTGAAAGATAAATTAGAAAAACTACCCCAATCACCTTTGCCTCAAAAAAAAAAAATACTTGGGAATCAATCTATCAAAAGATGTGAAAGATCTCTATGATGAAAACTACAAAACACAAAAGAAAGAGATAGAATAAGACTTTATAAGATGAAAAGATCTCCCATGCTCTTGGATAGGCAGATTTAACATTGTCAAAATGGTCATACTATCAAAAGTGTTGTACAGATTTGATGCATCTTCTATTAACAACACAATGACATTCTTCATAGAAAAAGAAATAGTAGACATGAAATTCATTTGGAAAAATAAGAGGCCCAGAATAGCAAAAGCAATCCTTAGCAAAAAAAGTGAAGCTGGATGCATCACAATATGAGACCTCAAATTATACTATAGAGCTATAGTAACAAAAAGGCATAGTATCAGTGCCAAAATAAACATGTAGGCCAATGGTACAGAATAGAAGATACAGAGACAAACCCACATAAATACCATCTCATACTAGGCACAATAGTGCCAAAAACATACATTGGAGAAAAGATAGCCTTTTCAACAAATGGTGCTGGGAAAAGTGTAAATACATGTGTAGCAAAATGGAATTAAATCCCTATCTCTCATCCTGCACAAAACTTAACTTGAAGTAGATCAAGGACCTAGGAATTAGACAAGAAACCCTATGCCTAATAGAAGAAAAAGTAGGCCCAACTCTCGACCATATCATCTTAGGAAACAAATTCCTCAACAAAACTCTTAAAACACAAGAAATAAAATCAAGAATCAATAAATGGGATGGCATCAAGCTAAAAAGCTTTTTCATGGGAAAGGAAATCTAGAACATGAAGAGAGAGCCTATAGAATGGGAGAAAATCTTTGACACCTGCACCTCAGATAGAACATTAATCTCCAGGATATACAAAGAGCTCAAAAAACTTAATACCAAAAAACCCCAAATAGTCCAATTAATAAATGGGCTAAGGAACTGAGCAGATACTTGACGAAAAAAAAAAAAATGACCAGTCAACAAAAATATGAAAAAATGTTCAACATCACTAGTGATTAGAGAAATGTAAATCAAAACTAAACTAAGATTTCATCTCACTCCAGTCAGAATGGTAATTATCAAGAATACAAGCAACAATAAATGTAGGCAAGGATGAGTGTGAAAAGGTACACTGATACATTGCTGATGGGACTGCAAATTGATACAACCACTATGGAAAGCACTATGGCAATTCCTCAGAAAAACTGGAATGGAACCACCATTTGACCCAGTTATCCCTTTCCTTGGTTTATACCCAAAGGATTTAAAATCAGCATACTACAGTAACACAGCCACATCAATATTTATAGCAGTTCAATTCACTATAGCTAAACTATGTGACCAACCTAGGTGCCCTTCAACGGATGAATGGATAAAGAAAATGTGGTACATATACATAATGGAATATTACTCAGCCAAATGTTTTCTCTAATATGCAGATGCTAATTCACAATGAGGGGTAGGGGTAAGGGAAGAATAGAAGTACTTTGAATTAGACAAAGGGGAATGAAAGGAAGGGAGAGGGAATGGGAATAGGAAAGATAGTAGAATGAATCAGACATTACTATACTATGTGCATAGATTACATGGCCAGTGTACTTCTACATCATGTACAAATAGAAGAATGAGAAATTATATTCCTTTTTGTATAACATATCCAAATACATTCTACTATCATGTATAGCTAATTAGAACATTTTTTAAAGAGAACTAACTACAGAGAACCATATATATACTTCCAACCGATCACTTCTAATTAGCCTGCCTACAGCTTCTCTAGACCTGAATCCTTTCCTATAACCCTACAAAGCTTTCCTACTTCTCTGCCTCTTAGCTTCTGCTAAAGTGCAAATGATGGTAGTTGATTCTTGCTATAGCAATGCTGAAGGCAGGTATTTTCATTTATTTCCACACTACTGAGAATCACCAACAGGTTCATCAAAGGGCAATTATGCTCACATATGCTAAAAAGTTAATCTTCACAACATTCTGTAAGAAATTTTTTTAAATCCCCATTTTATGGATGCAGAGAACTAAAGGTTGCAAAAGTTAAATAGCTCCTCATGTTTTCCTTTTTACATCATGGTAGAGTAAGTGTTTAGTATACATTATTTTGACAAAAAGTTCAAAATATTAGCAAAAACATGTTTAATGATAATGATATCAGCTATAATTTTAATAGGTGTTTTCTAGCATTATTTGCAATTACTTTCATCAACTTTCTGGACAAATATCAACAATGTATTTTGAATATACTCATAGCCTTAAAGTTACTACTTTTCAAAACACACATAAAATTTAGGTGATATTAGAACATATCAACAGAAATAGTTTTCTTGCCCAATTGTGATTACATCAACAGGTTTTTCACAGGTAATGAGTAGAAAACCTAATAAAAAAGTATGATTATTTATGATATATGATACTGACAAAAAATGAAATGTGGGTAATTCTAAAATGAAGGTAATATTTATTTGCCTGTCACTTAACAGAAACTGTGATTTTTAGAAGTTCATTGCATAACACTAACATCAGATAGATATCATACTGTTTATTTCAAAGTTGAAAAAACATTAACTAAAAGCTTCTAGACTGTGGGCAATAAGGTCTACATTTAAAAACTGAATTGTTATTTCGTTTTAGTCTACCAAACATACTTAAGAAACAATTGATCAAAATTTAAGAGGTTCCCTTAGGAGATGATTTGGCCACACAACCCCAAATTGAAGTAATTGTATCCTGAGTATAAAAATAACATAACTTAGTCTTAGAAAATTAAGGAGGAGGAATGATATTCATGTAGATTAGAATTTGCCATAAAATTACATAAAGCCAGAAATTAAAAATTAGAACAATATAGATGACTACTAAGAATTTTTAGTAACTGAAAAATATAATGATATTTAAGCACAATTCCTATACTGTGAACTGAAAAAGTAAAAAGAAATTTATAGATAATTTTGTTTAAATAAAGATGCAGAGTAAGAAAAGATGATTAGGGTCAAATAAGTCCTCCTATGACTTCTAGTTTATATTGTTAACTCTAGGTAACTCAAACTTATTTACTAAGAATTCCTGGCTTTGAGCATTATAAACTAAAATGAACAAAAACTTAGAACTTGAGAACTATAAGAAAAAAATTTCAGGTTCTCAAGAATTTCACTTTCACAAATTGTTTCCTTAAAATGTCACCAATGTATTAAAAAGCAATGAATTTTCCATCTTAAGTTATAAAAACAAGGGAATAATTTGGTCATTTTGCAAAGTACAGAAAGGAAAATGTGTCTCCCTGATATATCTTAAAAATGCTCCTACCTATATAGAGAGTGATTTTCATTATATACCAGTGGATCAAATATTTAAAACTTTTACTAATCTGTTCTCCATTAGGCATGTGGTATAATTTTCAGCTTGGTCTACAATAACATATATTTTATAGAAAAGAAAAATTAATTGAGATTTTTTTAAATGGAGGCAGGAGGGTGAAAGGTTGAGGTACACATTTGATAAGAAAATCACCGAGGAATTTCTCAAATAAGACAACTCCCAGATTCTGGGGTTGAAGCCAAGATTAACAATCAAATCATGTAAATAAAGACATTCCAATCATTTTAAAGCCATAGAACAGTACAGTACAGACACGTAGCTTACATAGAATTCTGCTCTTCTAATGGGTAGCTGTGTAAACTAGACAAATCACTTAACTTTTCTGTGGCAAGTTTCCTCATTTGTAAGATAGGCGTAATAAAAAATTGAACCTCTGGGTTGTTGTAAATGTTAAAAGGATTAACATTTATGTGTTGAGTAGTAAACAAAGGGCAAGCATTACTTTATTATTATTGCTGTCAATCTGAAAAAAGCAAAGAACTTCATTTTAGAGAATTAACGGCAAGTTAAAAATTTCTTTATGCCTATGGTCAAGAAAAATGAGATACTATTTGGTTTTACAGCTATGATAATGTTCTGAGATGGAGGAGAAGATTAAGAGAATGAGTAGCTTCCTAGAAAAAAAAATGTTAAGCATCATGTGGTTATCAGTGGAAGACACTGATTACAGGAATAAATTTACTGCTTCTTCATTCTCCATAATGGTCAATAAACACTTGATTACAGCATTTATCATGAAGTCCTCCACCTCTGTAGCTGTGTGACTCTTTAATTAGCCTGGACCCTCTTTGAAGGCAGAATTTATGTCAAAATTTTTTGACTCTCAAATGTGTACTAATGTTTCTTATGCAAAAGCACTTAATACATGTTGCATGAATGATAAATGAATTTTTAAAAATAAACAAATGAACAAACATGAATTTGATGACCCTTAGAGAAAAAATGATATTCATACAAAGAGGAAGCCATATTGAAACACATGTAAATTATTTTCAGAAGCTTCTTCCAAAACTTAAGTCTGTCTTAGAAATGGTTCTGATATCCTCTAATATGAATGATTTAGATCAAAGAATTGTAGTTTTCTGTGTATTTCAATTTGACAGAAAATATTTAATGCTTCCTAAATAAGTGAGAGTTATACTAGTATTACTTCTTGACCACTGAGTCACATCATTTTTTTAACAAAACAGTGTATTTGGTAAGAATTTGTATTATATATATATATATATATATATATATATATATATATATATATATATATATATTTATAAATTTGAATTGGCTTTTAAAAAATTAAGATCCGTTTTAAGTAACATGAGTAAAACTTTCCTTCTTTTGAAATTTTGAGGTATTTCAGAGTACACATTGAATTATCCATGCTTGTCTTCCAAAATTAACTGTGCATATGGCAAGCATGGTACATCTTTGGTGGTATTGGTATGTCTTTAGAAATCAAAATTATTTTAGCTATCTAGTTATTTTGAAATTTTAGCACTTATAATATGTTCATATGATTTTACTTCTGAGACATGCATGTAATTGATTCTTACCCTATTTGAGTCAATTCTTGCTCTGGAAGTATAGATGGGGGGAGGGATGTTGAAAGCCTGGGGGACCAGGTATTCCTCAGCATCCATCATATCTTCCAAGTCCTCTTCATCCAAGAGATTCTGAAAGAACTTGCTGTCATTTGGACTGGGAAGCTTCATACGATCATCACCCTGAAAGAATTGCCCATCAGACACATAAAATACATGATCCTTCTCTTCATTTTAAATATGTGGTCTCTAGCAAATTTATGTAAGAGCCAAACAACTGTTGAAAAATCCATGTATACATTTCAGGAGATAATTCTTTGGCACAACTTCAGCCATAAAGAAGCCTATAATATGTTTAGGTATGACACTGTAAGATAAATAAATTTAATACAAGAAGAATGTGATGAATGACATCAGAAAGGAATAAAACAGAATGCTATAGATGTTTTAGAGAGGCAAAATCCACTTCAGATCTGAGGCTAAGGGTTCTTTGTCAAGATGGTAGGTGGGCTGGACTTTAAGAATCAATAGTAAAGGGCAATCGATTTATCAATCTTAATTTTATGTAGTTAGTTTGATGCTGTACAGTTATTAGGATACAGAAGCTCTGTGATTTGTTATACGGTATGAACGATGGCCACAGGGTCAAAGTGGTAGCATTCCAAGTCACAGCACAAATGGCGAAGAGAATCAATGGGTATGGGAGAGACACCAAAACTCTTTTTATAGTGTCAAAAAACCCTTTCTTTCACCTTCTTTCTTTCTTTTTTTTATTTTTCAAAATTGTATGTTTTTTAATAAAAAATCAGTTCATAAAGGTTAATTTGGGGGAAAATAACTAGACATCATTAACTTTAAAGGGTGACTTTGATCTTAATGTAAGAGTATTGATAGGGAAATAAAGGCTCCTTTGTTTTAATAAGAAAATATAATTCAGAGTATCAAAGGTCCATTTGTTTATGTTTGGGGTGAAAAAATATCATAGATAAATTAGAATTTTTTAATCCATTTTTCCATCCACCCTACCCAGATAATTTGCTCTTGACTAAAGATTACAAAAGTATGTTTGTTGTTAAACATAAAATGATCTTTTGGTCTATTATTTAGTTCATATGTGCATCAAATTATTTGAATTGAGTTTTTTCTTGGATGCTGCATGTTTCTGCAAATATAAAAATATATTGTAAGACATTTTTCTAGGAAACTAAATGTTACTATATGTAAATTTTCGATTCATTTTTTCTCTGATTAAAACAAAAATCCATCATCCTTTGATTCTATAAAGGAAAGATTACAATAATGACCATGAGTTATACAGAATACTAATAAAAAGCAGAGTGATAGAAGGTTTTTCTGAGGATAAAACTTTTTTACATATATGGGTTATCATAATCATTTGGCTGTTCAATAGCATTCATTAGAGCACTAGGGGAAGGCTCTGAGAGGTGAATCTGAGATCAGGTAAAGAGTTCTTTTGTATAAGTTGTTTCACACCATAACACACTTAATTAATGTTAGTGGTCTGGAGCACTAAAGTTGAGATTGTCATATTTTGCAGTGCATGTGCCAGGGGGATAGTCTTAAAAACAAAGTCAAGTGTACTAACTTGAATAACAAGATATCTTTGAGGATCTCGAGCCATCCTTGAAAATTCGGCAGCCAGCTCCTTAAATTTAGGTCTACTGTCAGCGTCAATCATCCAGCCTGGAAATTTACACACAATAAAAGTGTCAGAATATCTATATTTGAAAAAAGCAGTGACATTTAAATTTTGTGAAAATATAGGCTAAAGTGTGAAAAATATTGTTTTAATAATAATGATCTGAAAAATGAAGGAGGCTAGTGAAAGAACTCAGTTTGCTGATACTCATCACTTACTGTCATATACTATAAAATATCAGATGAAATATTTTAAATTTTTATTTTCTTCTTAGAAAACAGAATGCAGACTAGCTATGAGAAGTTATGGAAAATCAGATTTTTGTTGTTGTTTTGGGTGTGGAGATAATTTTTTGAAACTTTGTTGATTATAGATGAGGTGATTGGAATATAATTTATCATTTTGTATCAGGAATGACAAGAGAGAAAACATTTGGTGCAATACTGATCACTGAACAGAGAGAGGAAAAGGGAACTGAAAGGAACTTTTGTGCCACTTTTTCCTGGTGGGGAAAAAGAAAGAATGTAAAATATTGGTAATGTTTGTCCAACAATAATCATTAGCTTATCTTAGTACTAACCTTTCCTGCATAAAAATACTATCAGCAGTTTCTAAGGTATACATTATTATTTAGCTGGGAGTCTAGATAAAATGGATCTTATCTTTCTAGATGCTATTTAGAGGATGATATGACAAGAATAAAAGCATCAGCTTTCCTTGATTTTTTTTTTTTTTTTGTCAAATTATTCTCTTCTAAAGTATTAAAATTCCTGGGGTGGGGGGAGGTAAAATTCCCAGTAGAGTTTGCTTAATAAGGTAAAAATTTTGCCTAATTTTATATCATTTCATCAGAGTATATAAATCATCTCCTATTCTGGTTATGGGATCAAATTATATAATGCTTGCATATTTTAATACTTTCTTCTCTGGACATTTACCAAGCCATGTTTGATTGATTAAAACTATAAAGACTGTTTCTCCTATTCTGGGGTTCAATTTTTATTCCTGTTCTGGGAATTCTTTGGGTATTGTTTTATGTATCATTGATGTCACCTACTTTTTTTCTTTCTTAACAAAACTCAAACACTGTACATTTTCTATATACTCATTTTAAAGAAATGCTTATTATTACTGAGATGTTCATGAAAAAAAATATTTGTTTATGGAACTCTTAGAGCCACAAAAGGTTAACTTCACTGTGAGATATGTGGTCCTCTCTAAATATTGAGTAAATAGAACTGTGCTTAGAAAAAAGGGCATGTTGACCTGAACTGTAATGAACAGTTTTTATTTCTTGCCTCCCTGTCAGAATGCATCATGCATGTCATGAATATAAATTTGAGTAGACCTGGGTCCAAAGTCTCTTATTAATAAGGTGCTTATTCACCTTCACCAGTTGGTTCCTTTGCTAACACTGTGTATTTCAAAAGGGGAAAACCCCAGATTATGCAAGAGAGACTGTTCCTGTTAATCTCACTTAAATTAAGTCTGGAACTCCAGAGACTTCCCTAATTCTATTTAAATTAAGGGCCTAGACTTCCAGAACACATTTATAATACATATGTGTCTGGGGCTTAGTAAGGGGAAAGAAAAGTAAGAGTTTGATGTAAACAAATGATCAAGTTGATGAAAATAAACATTCCTCATCATTTTAGCTGAATGTAGAGACATTTCTTCTACTTCCCACCCTACTTGGATAATTTGCTCTGACTAAAAAAACTGACAAACCTATTTCCATTTAATTCATTTTTTAAACTATCAGTTTCAAGCTTTCTTTGTTTAGATCATTAATTTTAGTCTGACATACTCCCTTAAAGATTACTAACATTAATGTTACCACTAACAACGTTGTAACTAATTATATTTCTTTATGGTAGGTAGTTCTGAAAATTATAAGATTTAAGAATAGTTAGAGTCATCTAACTTTGACTTCACAGTATGGAAGCATGATATTACTGTATATTAATAATTACAGTAAACAGGTGTTTACATGCTCCATCAGTGATTTTTCAACTGTTCTGTTCTCCAATACAGAGAGACATTATACTCTAGTATACTCTCTACTATTATTTTATTAAGAACAGTGATAATGACTATAAAATTATTTCACACTCTTACATTTGACCATGACCATGTAAACGTCAATGGTGCAGATGGGAGGTTGAGGCAAACGTTCTCCTTTTTCTAATAAATCAGGAATTTCTCGAGTTGGAATTCCATCATAGGGTTTCCCTCCAAAGGTCATCAGTTCCCATATAGTGACTCCTAAATTGGAGATAAAATTCTTCCATAAGCATACTGACAACATAATTCAAACAAACAAGCAAAATGTCAAGTGGCAAAAGAATGCTCCTTAAAGGTCAATCAAAAGAAAGTTAAAGAAGGTTCCTCAGATTCCCGCATTTACTAAGTGCTAAAATCTTTGTGGGAGAATTTGATTCTTTTATTATTGTTTCGGAATTTTTAATGTTAATGCATAGTAGAGGTGATTTAGAGTTGATGTCAGAGTGTAGAATCTATTCCCGTTTCTACTGATAAATAATGCTAATGTTTGCTGACCCAAGCTATGTTACAGCCCAGAATACAATTTATTTATTGTATAAATATGTGTTCAGCTCATCAAATAAAAATGATTTCAGGAAAAAATTGAAATTGATTTTTAAATCTCAAAATTTAGCCCTTTTCTATAAAAGCCTTAACAGTTAGTTAAGCAAAGATTTTAGAATAATTTTCTTATGCCACAGTAAAGACCTGTGGCTCACCTTTTCATTAACAAAGAAAAAACAGTAGAATAAAGCATATTAAGTCATTTATCACATGAGAACCAAAATGCAGGGATAAATTCATATGTAAGATATAATACTTAAAAAGTGGGCATCCAAAAAATGGAAAGTAATCAAGAATAGTTTATTCTTTGCATAATGAAATTACTTTCTTGAGCCACTGTAAACACTGATTCCTCTGGAAAAAAAAATATACTAAAAGCATTCAAACAACCTGTTTTGATAACAATAGTAATTCTGATTCAGGCAATAATATGTATACTAAAGAACTCTTTCTTATGATATAATAAACAACCACATACTTAAAGTTACATTTTTCTTAGGGATAAAGATTTTTAAGTTGTAAATAAGTGGGCACAATAATATTACAACCTGAGTTTGATTGATGCATACAGACAGATACATTTTAAAAATCCATTAGGTAAGGCTATGTTTTCTTCTCTGCTGCCAACTGGAATGAATGGTAGTATATTTCTAGTTAGTCATACTCATATAATATGCATTTAATGATTACATTTTATTAACTCAGGTAGGCAGTTATAAAAGTCAGAACAGATACTCTCACATCTCTATCAGAACTTACAACAAAAGCAAACTGCACAGCAATTACAAATAAAAATATATAATTGACAGAAGCATATATACAAACATAAAAGCTGAAACTCAAACCCCCACTTATAAGAACAATCCAATCCTTTCTTGGTAGAGTGATGACAAAATAAGTGTTAAATAAGGATGGCTTCATGGAAAAGAACAATCTCAGAAAAATTCAATCAGAAACAGCTTAAAAACATATACTGCAGCTCCATCACCTGAAGATATATATATCATCATAGCTGATGCACATTTTTATAAATATAAAGATGCAGCCAGTGATAATTTCCCATAAAGGTGTACTATAAACAAGATTATGTAGCTTTCTCTGCCTTTTATGCCTTTTGCAATCACTTATGATATATCATAAGAATCTTAAAGTGCCTGATGATATGTATTGACGATCTGGGCTGTGTTTCATAATAGAATACTGTATCTCCACTTCTTCATTTTTACTAAACAACATGAGATTTTTAGAAACATAACGTGCAGAAAACTAGTACAGCCCAAGTAACAGGATTTTCTTCAAAGACACATTTTATTATTAAAATTATGACAGTTCTGCCAACATTTTTTGTTGGCTTATTTTAATATCATTTAAAATTTGCCTCCAGCAAATTATCACATCTAATTCATGGAAAAGAAAGTACATAAGGAAAAGAAATAGAAAAAAGCCTATGTGTATATTATACTAATATACATAAGAACATACATAAATCTTCTGTGATACATAATTTATAAATCTATCCAGATCATGTATTTATGCTATCATGTAATACATAAGTAATAATCTGTATGCTAATCTGCATTATATAAAATGTCTATCATATATGTGGTAGATTTGCTTTTCTATTAAGCAGCACATCTACTAAATTTTGCCAGGCTTTTCTCTTATATTTGCCTAAACTTCAAACACACATTTATACTTCTAAGAAAAGTAGAATATGTGCAGTCTTTTTGAAATTTACATACTTTCTATGGCATACACAGGGGAGACACATTTTATTGAAATGTCTTAAGTAGTTTTTTAGGAATAATGAATTTCTTTTCTACAGAAGAGTCGTGAGTTCTTTAGTAATTAAATGGTCTAAATATTTTATTTTTAATGAAAACTTAAAAGTAAGCTTAAATTTGAATAAAACAAATTGTACCAGATCTTTAAATCCCACCATTATACTTTTCATTTAAATAGGCATTTTGGTGCTTTTTATTTTAAATAAATGCTATATTTTATGTCATATTCAAACTCAGAAAAGTCCTTAACTCTTGCTAAGTGATAAGCAGACCAAGTTGTAAGGAGCCAGATAGATGCTGAAGAGCTCATCATAACCACTGAGTTAAACACAATGAAAGAAATGTTCTAATTATAAATATCAATCTTTACAAATTCATATTATTCACTCTATAATGTTTCTATTACTCCAAAAGTTGTTTGTAAATTAAAACTGAAGTTGCAATTAGAAGTCTTCTCTCTTACCTCTATTTTCAGTAATTGTTAATTGTTATGACCATAATCTCTAAATTTTCTACCATAGAACAGAAATTCCCATAGCAAAAAGGAAAACAAAAAGCTGTCATTGTTTTTATTTTGTCCTTCAACATTCTTTGCATTCAGAATTATATTTTCAAAGAATTGTTGAAAATTAACTCCATGAGATTCTGTGAAATTATCCCTAAACTAAAAGTGGCCGAGTTTTGTTTTTGTATTTGTTTTCAGTAAAAATGATCAGACAGTTGCTACTAAACCAGAGCTGATGGCAGAGATATCAACATTTTCCATTTTAGAAGACCATGAAATTAAAAAATAAAAAGTACTCTTTACAGTATTTTTCTTTTGCATTTTTAAATAAGTTAATTTCTTTAGGAAATTAGGCCTATAAATAGATAGTTTTAACACAATAAAGTACTTTGACTTAGGATATTTTACATGAACTGAATGTATTTATTTTTGGCTTAAAAACCTTAATTCATAAGGAAGATTTATTTACCATAGCTCCAAACGTCACTCTGGTGGGTGAATTTTCTATAATGTATACACTCTAGTGCCATCCATTTAATTGGCATCTGTAAAGAAATAAGAAGTGAAAGTTTTATATAAAAATGCAATTTATATACATACTAAATCTGAAGCTCTGAACTTGATCAATTATATTCTTTGTGTGTTTATAGATATAAATTTTAAAAGGTTATTTTTCAAGATTGTGAGAAAAATGGATTGAAATTTACAAAGTGAATTAATTCAAAGATTCTGTGAAATTGTCCCTAAAGTATTGTACTTATTTTTTTAAAGAAAAGCTTCATATACAGGTTTAAATATGAGGCAGCCCCCGAAAGCTCATGTGTCAGTCAATGCAAAAGTGTTTAGAGATGAAATAATTGGGTTATAAGAGCCTTAACATAATCAGTGTGTTAATCCACTGATTTAGGCAATAAATCAAGGATTAATTGGATGGTAACTGAAGGCTGGTAGAGTGTGGCTAGAGAGAGTGGGTCCCTAGGGCATGTCTTTGTGGTTTATATTTTGTCCCTGTTGAGCAGAGTGCGTGGTCTCTCTCTCTCTCTCTCTCTCTCTCTCTCTCTCTCTCTCTCTCTCTCTCTCTCTCTCTCTTTCTCTCTTCCTCCTTCCTGGTGCCATGTTCCCAGGTGCTTTTCTCTGCCACATGCATCCACCATGATTTTCTGCCTCATGTCAGGCCCCAAGAAATGGAGTCAGTCTCCTATGAATTGAGACCTCTGAACCACAAGCCCCCAACTAAACTTTTCCTCCTTATAATTGTTCTTGTTAGATCTTTGGTCACAGCAATGAACAAAGCTGACTAAAACATATAATAAAAAAGTAAAATAATAAAACAGGGACAACTTTCTTATTAGTTATGAGTTAAAGTTAAAATAAGTTTCTTATTTTAAGAAAATGTCTTATAAGTTATGAGTTCAAATTATGACCCACATACCAAATCCAACCACTAATATGTCTGCTTCTTAAAAATGTGTCCATGTTATATTTTTTCTTAAAAAATGGGATGTCTTACATTTTCAATTATCCCTTTTCACTCCAGACATAATTTGAGCTAGGAATACAATGAATCCTTTCTACACTTACCTCTTCCTCTCTTATGTAAGTCGGTCACTAAATTGTTTAAAATCATGAATTTCAAAGTTAGCTTTGCTTTGTTCCCCAGCAAATGACCTCCCTTGTCTGGGTTAGCCAGTACTGAAAATCTGTACCGTTTCAAAACTGGAACTAGTATATTAAAAAAAAAAAAAAAAAAAAAAGTGAGAGGATCAGCACAAATCCATCATCACTACAAGAAAAACAACTCAACCCACATACCCTGCTGTTGATGGGTCAGCAGAATGCATTTCAACCCGAAGGGCAGCATTATATGTCTGGGAATATAATTAGATTCTATGGAATAAAGACAAACACTTCTACTTCGCAGTTGAAAGCTTAAAACTAAATAGGCCTTTGAAATCATGAGGTTGGCTGCTCACCAAGGTGACATCAAGGTAACTCCATGACAGAATCATGGTATTCAGTGAAAGGGAACAGGAGACACATTGAAAATGATTTCCCTATGGGCAAGGAGTTAACTGAGTTTATGGACTACAGACATTGTGTTAAGGAAGTAAGTTTAAATCACAGGTGGCTTGATAAAGACTTAATGGTTACCAGGCATTTAAAGCTGTAATGAATCTTGCTTTAGACAAATCTTACAGCTGTATGTTCTTAAGACAAGTGAAGTCATGTGATTTATAGACTTTTTCTCCTGTGCAATCTTGTAGTGAACTTCAAAGTTGAGGTCCCAAACTACTGCAATTTGGTAGTGAAAAGTCAAAATATGTTCTTAAAATCAAGGAAAGCCAGATAAACCTCAAAACGGAAGAGTTTTTTTTTTTTTTTCTTCTATTTCACCTTTTGATAAGATTTGAATGTAGCAGGCATATAAGCATTTAGGGTAAAAAAAAAATCAACGTTAAGCACTTGGAAGCCTATCATTGCAAAATATTTATATTTTTGGATTTATATTTTTTATATTTTTGGAAAAAAAAAATATATATATATATTTGACCCAGAGCAGGAATAATGACAAGTGATAGAACTGGGTTATAATCTCCTAAATCTCAGGCTAACCGGTTTCTTCCTAAAAAACATAAATAAATAAAAGAAGATAAAAGGATACCATACTGTATTTTCAATCAATATTGTTTTAAAAAAGATACCTACCTTTCCTCCATCAGCATTATATTCTTTTTCATCTCCTTCCAAGAGTCTGGCTAATCCAAAATCTGTGATTTTCACATGGTTTGGCGATTTCACTAACACATTTCGAGCTGCCAAGTCCCGATGAACAAGCCGTCTTTCTTCTAGGTACATCATTCCCTGAAAAACATCAAAATCCACTAAGACGGTTAGTTAACGCCCAGCTTTTTCCATATTCTAAGAAGGAATCTCAGCATTTAATTGAAAGTGTTTCTTTTTTTTTTTAAAGTGAAATCAGTATTCTGAAATATTTTCACAATTAAAGAAAACTTTGGGGAGCGGAGCAGCTATCTTTTTGCCTTTCCTCCTAAAGTCGTCTAAAGTAAACTGAATCATCTGACCATGAACTGAATGTCAGATTGTTCTCCTCAGAGACCAGATACCCGTTTGCAATCCCTTCATTTTTGAGGTGTGTAGGTGTCTTAGCAGGTCAGCTTACATATACTTATACTGACCCACATATTCCTCACCATTTTTTCTCCATAGCTTCAGCTTAATGTCATTTTGCCTTGCACACTCACTCAAAACAAATACATCTCTCAATAATTTTTAAAAATATTTCATTTGGGCCCTAATGGTTCCAGAATCTCCATTACAGATTCTATTAAGGCTGAAGAATGATATTATTCTTATTATGAATGCACAGGATGAAGTATACCCTTGGGGTCTTGAAAGTATATAATTTTTTAAAAAGCTTCTGTGACATTAGTTGTTATTATAAGAACCCACAGGTTGAATTACACAGCTCATAAAGAATCACAATTAGACTTTAACATGTTATCTTCAAAACCTTAGAAAGAAATCAAAAATAAAATCCATTGCTGATTACTAACAAGATATAATAGCTGACTCCCCCATACATACACATGTTATTTATATAAAGTATATATTAATATCTATGTGAATTCATAAAAGTAGTGATCCATACTAGTAATAATTAGTTTATTAATTGTACCTCAGTGGTGGGGAGACTTAGAGCTATTAAACACTACTCTTAATTAAAAATTCCATGTAAAAGCAAGACATTCAACTCAGAGGCATAACTTAGATTAGAGTGAATGTACTTTTATTGAAGTATTAAGGAAAATTCTATAGTCAACAATTTCATTGTCAAAAAAGTCATCATTCACAAATAGATCAGAATTATACAATGGTTGAAGCATACTCTCATGCCAATTGCAAATCAATGCGGTTGGCGGTTAACATTACAACTGTAGGACTTTGAAGGATTAATGGTTTCTGATCCCAAAACAAAAGCTGTGGAAAACACACACATAAATCACATAGGTCAAAAAATTATGAACCGTATACCTGATGCAGTGTAAAGAGAAGATTGCTTCAAACAGCATCATGGACCAAACTCCATATAAATGCCCATTAAATACAACTGGTGGAGATGGAGATGCCACCTGCTATGGGCCAATCAGTCAACAGTTAGGTGACATCATATGTATTAGTGTTTTCTGAAATCAACCCACAAATGATATTTATGGCATTTTTGCCCTCTTTCCTACATAGCACTTTCTCTTTGAGTATACCCCATTGAAAATTCCTAAAATAAGGTGAATCTGAGCATATATAACCCTTATATGACTCAGAATCAAAAATAAATAAATCTATCACTTTGGAGATAGAGTATTTTTATGTCCCCCTAAATTATTTGTCCCTTTAAGAAATGTTCACAAAACATCCATCATTCTGTTTCTTAACACCTGCACATCAGAATATAGAAAGTGTGTTGGCCACAAGTAAAGATAGGTCCATACATGTCTTAACACATACAATGTTCCCCAATACTGCAAGACTCTGGGGAGACAACAGGGAGTCAGGTAAGGCATATGCATTAAAGGAAGAAAGATGCTAATTAATGAAGTGGGAAGATATGGAATAAAAAGTCAAATGAATTTCTGTGATACGTGCAAGGCATTTAAGGATAGCTGTATTCTGATAATTTTTTTTAGTATTGCTTAGCAAGTGTGCTTGAGAGGAAAGGTCCCCACACCTAAGTAAGGTTTAGAGAACAAAACTGCAGGCAGAAAGAACAAGCATGGACCTCAGTAAGCTGTGTACTTGGATAAAGCTATATAATTCTGTATTTCTGTATCACAGTACATGAGAGAGGGGTAGAAATAAGCAGTGAGATGGAAAAGATACAAACAGGCCAGATCCAAGAAGGGCCCCTTACACGTCAAGGGAGAGAACTTTGAGTTTTGTTTTATACAGTATACATCTCAGTAATAAGAAAGCTGTTATAAATGGGGAGTGATCCAATTTGCACTAGAATCTTGAAAACATTCCTCTGATGCCAGAAACAGAGGATGGATTAGCCACAAATGTAGCCACAGTACAGAAGAAAACTGACAATGATGTAAAGTTCAGTTTGAAAGCTGGCAGTCCATGAGTTACACCCACTTTCAGACTTTTTAAACTGAGTCTCCACACAGGGCAGGGAGTCACTCACTCTCTCTAGCTGAGCACCGTTTAGGACATCTGATCTCTAGTTTGCCAGGATCCTACCACTCATTATTACTTTTCAGGAAGTTTGCTTGTATCATTTATGATACTCTGGCTCATAATGAGTATGAGTCTTCTAAACTAGGCCAGAAGTAATACTACAGAGAGGATAATTCCAAGGTGTATTTGCAAAATAAAATGATCATCCTTGGTAACTGATTGAAAAATGAAGGACAAGTAAACTGAGAATAATTGTTTTTTTAGACTTTGTAATTTAGGTAGATAATGATTCCTTGAACTAAATAGCATTGTAATAGAAAAGCAGTTTGTTTCTTAAACATGTACAAGAATAGTAATATATATTTTACCAACAGAGAACTAACATTCTGCAAGAAACGTAAGATACTACAATGGTATGAATGTTAGTGCCCCTTCCAAATTCATCTGTTGAAATCCTACCCTAAAATGTGATAATATTAAGACATGAGGACTTTGAGAGCCCTTAAGAATGGTATGAATGACCTCAGAGAGATCCTTAGCTTTTTCAGTCCTATAAGCAATCAGGAACTGGGTCCACACCAGACACCAAATTGGTGGGCAACTTGACCTTGGACTTGCTAGCCTCCAGCATTATAAGAAAAAAAAATCTGTTGTTTTTAAGTCACTCAGTTTTGTATTTTGTCATAGTGGCCCAAACAAAGATACTGTAATGACATTCCACAATACACACAAAATTTCCAAAATTCTAATAGTTCTTTGGTATTCCATATGCAAAACTTCAGTAGATGATACACTATCTTTAACCTTCATACCATTTGTCCAGAAAAAGTAATTTCTTCATAATAACAAGAATTCAATCCAATGTACAGTCTATATAATTTTCTTCACCAACCTGGTCATCATTAATAGCAATTTAATAAAAAGAAAACAGAACTGCATATCATTACCAAACCATCTAAAAAGGTTTGAACAGTTGCTTTGTAACTAAAAAATATCATTGTGCAGAGACATACTTTCAAATCTTTAATATGACTGCCACTTTTGGCCCACTTTAACACCTAGAATTAAAAGGTTGAATAGTCTTTGGATTTTTCTTAAAAGGTTACTTCACAAAACAAGTCATTAAGACAAAATTTTCTTACTGAAAGATCTCATTAAAGTCACATTTTCTGCTAGATTCCTTCAAAATGAAATCCCTCTTAAGGTTAAAAGTGTGATGGACTAAGGAGGCAGACAGTTGCTTGAAGAAGAAATAATAAATATAAACTGAATGAAGTCCCTGGAAGTTTGAGGATTAATCACAAAAACCCATTCATTATGGTAGAGAGATGTTGTACCAGTAGGAAGAGAAATCTTCTCTACCCCAGAGCAGCTCCCATGACCAGGCCAGGCCAGGTAGGGTACCTGATGGGACTGCCTATATACCACAGCTAACATTGACCAGAATTTGGGACACAGCAGGCACCAACAGAATGCTTCTACTTTGGTTATTTAAAATAATCCTATGAAATACACACTATTTTCAATCTCATTATAAATATGAGAAAGTTCAGGCTAATAGAGGTAATTTTACTTGTTCCAACTCAAGCAGCTAATGAGTGTTAGAAGTGGGATTTGATCCCTTGCTGTGGGACTCTGGAGCCTACACATTTAAGTCTATCCCCCCTTAAACACTTCAGAGGGACATGTGGGCTTGGAGAAATTAATGTGTATAATTATATTCTGTGACTTTGAAAGATTCTTATTTTTTTTCTAAGAAAAAACAATACCATAAGAGATTTCAATGAATTTTAGCACATAATGCAATTGATTAATTTATAAAAAATTTATACTTAAAATCCAGCTAAATTGCAGAGCTGTTTGTAATTTAGCAGGAATTTTAATTATATAAGTTCAAGACTCCATTCTTACTTTGATCCCAGAGTATGCAGATGGTCCAGTGGGGATGGGTGTAGAATCTGGAGTCAATCACCTGGTTCAGTCCCCAGCTTGGCCATCTTCTAGATGTGTGACTCTGAACAAGTTATTTTAACCTTTCTGTGAATAGCACCTGTCCCACAGGTTATTGTGAGGATTAAATAGTATACTCAAAGCACTTACATAGTAACTTGGTATGTAGTAGGTATAGAACATGTAAACTTTTAGTATTGCTTCAAAGATAAATATCAACAGTCCTAGAATGGACAAGAATTACCTTCATTAACTTGGACTGTCTATTTTTTTTTTTAAAATCAAACCTCAGCTCATATATCACAGTGGGTATTCAATAAATGTTTGCAAATGGGGATATGTATACCCATAACTTACCAACTATAATTAATTCATGGATACAAATTTCAGAATTATTACTATTTGAAATCTCATTTTAATAATGATACACCTGAGAAATCTGCCATATAATGAGAAAGAACAATTAGGGAGTATATTAAGGGATTTGACACATTCCATAAATACATCAAAGATTTCAGGAACTTACTGAAGATAAAAGTCACAAGCAAGATAGATCTAAAAGTCTTCAATGCTTCAGAATGTTTTCTATGAGTTAATAAAATAGTACATTTGCCATAACAGAGTCTGCTATTTATCACACAGCATGGAAGAGGGTTTTTGGTAAATGTTTGAGAGGCAATTTTACCCATTTCATGATCCAAGTGCTGTAAGTCTGA